GAAGGTCCCGGATGTTTTATATGCTTGATGCTATTCATAAGCGACGATTGTTGGCGACGGGAAAGAATGCATTTACATTTCTTGCCTATTGTTCTAGTAGATTTGCGCGTCGCGCAATTTTTTCTGTGATAAGATGTTACATTATATGGTATCCAAAATAAAATAGGCCTTAAGAAAAGTCAACAAACAAAAACAAAACGTCTAAAGAAACCATCGCGATAAAAACACATTCAAAACAAAGACTTTTGTCTGTCTAATATTGTTATGTTATGTGTTGAATAATATTAAAAGACGACACTAGCGCACTTTAAGAACTTTTATAGTAGATTTTAAATTGCGACTAGGGTTTTTCTGTGGTAAGCGCTGTCTGTCACACACGTCAAACATGCTCACATGAACAATACGCTATCTCTTTCATTCGCGATCGAATCGTTCAGATTTCTTTCTTGTCTCGTCTATTGTAACAGTGACGAGATTAATATAATGAATCAAAGGGAATTATCATAATTATTTGCAAAATGTTAGAGGATTCCTTTATCCAATTTCATGAGCTCTTCCTGCATACGAGCGCTGGTATGCGTTGTGTCAGACATTCTGCAATTTCCAACACCATTTGTAACATTATCATTTTTATCTATTTCACTGAGGTAATATTTTTCGCAATACTTTGATTTTCTAAAAAATAAATAAAAGGATAATATCGATATTAACATTATAAAGATCCTAAAAACATAAAAACAATAAATTTGATTTGCTAAAAGTAATATTATAAGAAAAGTTTCTTTGATAAAGCAATGTACAATAATTTGCTTGCAATTAGTTTTGCTAATTACAGGTCATTATCATCAAAATAATCATATTATATTTCTGAATATTTCTGAGTTTATGAGACTATTATAATTTCAATAAAATTATAACATTATTGAAATTCAAAACTTTAAAGTTCTTTTGAAAAATTATATATCGTTGCTTATATATAAAACAATAATTGTTTTACATATAAAACAATGGTTGATTATTTGAGTACATTAATTTTAAATGGATAAAGAGAAGAACCCTTAAGACATAACAACCCGATGAAAAATTTTTCATGCAAAATTTTGTATGAAATTTGTCCATACATAATTATGTATAATTATATATAATCATATGAAATTATATATAATTATACATAATTATGTATAACAATATGTATAATTACATATAAATTTATGCGTAATTATGTAAAATTATATATGAATTTATATATATAATTATACATAATTATATGTAATTATATATAATTATATATATAAGTAGAATGTATGAACATGAATGGACAAATTTGATACATAATAATATATAATTATATATAATTTTATATAATTTTATATAATTATATGTGAAAAATTTTTCATTGGGAAGTGTTTAAAAATCATATTATCATCATATTTTTAATACAATATTTTGTGCTTTTCATTAATGAAAATTGTTTTTAAACAATAAAAACACAGATTTCTCTTCATTGAATCATATAAAATATAATCTTGCAAGTAACTTATCTTCTTTCAATACTATGTAATCTCACTTGAAGATTAACATCAAAAATAAAAATATTTTCCAAACAAGAAAGTTTTGTGTGAAACGAAACCTTCTCTTAGTAATTTTGGAAATAACTTTCGATTACAAATTCCCCGATTTTCGGTCCTTCCACTTGAATCCTTATCAATAGTCATGAATCTTCAATTGAACATGTCTGAAGTCTCCCCTTTTCCACGAAGTTCCGTATTCCCGCGTCGGCAGAAGCGCTTCGTTCTCATTCTCACGAAAATCCAAGCGAGCATCGAAGTCACGCGACTCTCGTTCGGTTTGTCCGATATTGATTTAGACGATTACAGCGCGTTGCGACCGGCGCCTTCTAATTCCTGCCGTAACCGCGATGTGAAACAAGCGCGACTCCCCCAACGTCAACGCGAAGAGTTCGCGCGCGCGCGCGCGTTAATAATTCCAACAGCAGGGCTTATCTAGATGCGGCATGACACACCACGTGCTGTACACGGTAATTTATCCTTGTGGCGTGTACTTTGGAGTCGATACAAAAACGAGAGGTCCGCGAAGAAAGCCCTTCTTACTGCGCGCGCCTCGCGTTTCTCGCCTGCGAACAGAGATTTTGACGCGACGCGATTTCCATCGCCCCCGTCACGAGAGGACGCGAAATTAGCGATCGCAATTAGTCGTCGCTGACGAGCAGGCGCTCGGCAGCGAGACGTCGGCGTGACACGCCGTCCTGGGATCATCGTCGACGAGACGCAAGTTTTCTTTCATTATTTCCGCTCGTGATAGCTGCAGGCTAAGAGCTAAGACAACCCAGCAACGGCGCCGGGTTGCATTGTTCTCCCTGCTCTACATCTTGCTCCTTTCTTCCGCCGTCGTGGACCCTTCTCCTCTCTGCTCCCTTCTTCACCGCTTCTTCTCTCGTCCCGGAACGGGGAACGAGCGCGTGGGTACCTTTTTCCCGAGGGCGACATAAAGCCCGGGACAAATTGCTACGTGTGTTTACGTTAAATCGCTTAAGCGCGCGCCGCACGCTGGTGCACGCTCCTCCGGCTCTCGGAGGGATCGGGTCTCTCTCGTAAAGGCGAGAGATAACCATCTGCGAGTGAGGGCCATCGGCATAAGTCAGGCTTCGACGTGGAGCCGCGCGCGAACCGATACGCGCGCGTAGTATAATGCATAATAGCGTGCACGTCGGCCGATGTATACGTGTCCGGATTAAGGCCACTCGATGCTGCGCCAGCCACCTTAATGCCCGGTGCGCTGGTAGCGGAGAGCGCCTCTTAAACGTTATCGCGATGCATGCCGAACCTCCTCTCCCTCCCTCTCTCCCACCCTTAGAACCAAACCGGGCCACTAATGTGTATACTTTGCGTTACACGTTAATCCTTTCCGTAGGGTACCATTAATTACAGCGGGCAAGTGCCGCGGGGATCTTCTTGTCTAGTTTCGGCGTTGTGAGATACTTACGGTATAAACAGGCCGAGAGACAGAACTCTGAGTCTGTACGTGTGTGTGTGTGTGTGTGTGTGTGTGTGTGTGTGTGTGTGTGTGTGTGTGTGTGTGTGTGTGTGTGTGTGTGTGTGTGTGTGTGTGTGTGTGTGTGTGTGTGTGTGTGTGTGTGTGTGTGTGTGTGTGTGTGTGTGTGTGTGTGTGTGTGTGTGCGTGTGTGTATGCGTGTGCGTACGTGGACGGACGCTTTGAGTTAAATTCCCAAGAATGCGCCAGCGACAGGTGTCCAAAGAAGTATCCGCGGCATATCGCTCATAACGAGAATGCATAAGAGCGTTTCGTTCGATAGAGTTCCGCACGAGAATAGCACGGCCCGTACACTCGCCCGTACGTTTGCTTGTTTGGAATGGACAACTGGAAAGTGCATATGTATATAAGCAGTATCAGGTTGCTCCGCTGGTCGATGGAAAGCGAGCTGAAATGTTCGCGAAACGTTGGTAACAAACAGCAAAAAGCGCGCCTCCGACCCCGCGAAAGCTAAAGCCAGCATTGCTCCACACGGCGGAAGTTTCAAATATGCGTACACAGTTCTCGGGCAGGACAAATATTCGGCCGTTTTCCCGATCGGTTAGAATTGCTAAGGAACTTAAAGTTGAAATCACTAGTCTGATATTAACTGATAAATTTCAATTGAATTGTCCTTAATAATGAACGCCGAAAAATGTAGAATTACTGACATGTTAACTGCTGATTTTCACTGATCACAAAGTTTCATTGATGATTGAATTGCTAAAGATACGGCGAATAAAGTTGACTCTCGAAATGAGAGAAATTATTCGATAAAAAATTAAAAAACAGATATTTCCAATTAAAATATCGATGAATTCTTATTTCAATCAGAATATCTGATTAAATTTAATCAGATACTTTCTATTATAATGTGATATTTCATCAGATAAACCGATCAAAAAATTATGAAACAATATTTTTCATCGGATGCTTTTTAATCGGACACAAAAAATTATCGGTATTTTGATCGAAAATATCCGTTTGTTAATTGCTTATCAAATAATTTGTTTCATGACCAATTATTCCAACTTATAGTTCCTGATAAGTTAATTGATATTAAATCATACGTCTTTGTTTTTCCTTGAACTTAGATAAAGACAGACATATAATTTAACTATCAGTTAAATTACCAGGAAGTTAGAACAACCGGCCGTCAGTGCATGCATCTCTCATTGGCTCTTTATTGGTCGTACCAATCAATTTTGTAAATGCAATTAAATATATTTTATTCTGTCAGATTTAACGAAGATAGAGGTATTTATTTTAGTAGGAAAATATGTAGGAGTGTATGTTACACTCTTTTGTACAGTTAAATGAGAGATAATTATTCCTGTCTGGTGAATGACTGACTGATTTCCCCACTTCTTTCTTTTTCCTGTTGTTGTCTTAACGCATTTTTAATTCATATTTCCAACGCAACATGCTTCAATTCATTAATATCAATTTCGAACAATCCAGGAGATATCCAAATATCAATACGTTAACACAGAATCTAGGTTTTTATAGTATAATATGGTAATATTATAGTTATCAGTGAGAATCTAACGGTAGCATACGTTTAATTTAATAAGAGACCACGTAACAAATAAATAAACATGACTTATGATGCATATCTATGTTCAAATATGAAAACAACGAGTCACACATACTGTAAACAGTCAGATTAATAAATAATTTCAAAGTTATTTCTTTACTAATTACAATAAATATTTAGAGATTTATTTCTTTATTAGGCAAACTAATGAACACTTAAAAAATTTAATATCACACTTTTATAATTTCTCAATTCTGCGCGAATGAACAATAATGAACAACAGTTGGCTCAATAAACACTTGGAAATTAATTTCTTTATTACTTACACTTATTAACTTTGAAATTAATTTCTTTATTAGTCAGACTAATGAACACCTAAAGAAATTAATATTCGACTTTTATCATTTTTCAGTTCTCCAGATGACGACAATGCTGCTCTCCGGTGTTCAGGAAATAAATGCAGTCTCAACGAGTTAAACGTGGATATAGATGTGGGTATAAGCGAGTCGGATGCATGACGCACAAATTATTAAAACAAATATGAGTGGCGAATACGTTGGATTCTGATTTCAATTCAAGGAATACTGCCGTGGAAAAGTCGCGAGGCAGATCGTGCGGATGCACGTTTTGGATCGGGCTTCTCTCTCTCTCTTTCTCTTTTTACTATTACATGATCTTCAGCAATATCACAGGAATTTTCTAAATCTTTGTTTTCAAAAGACAACAAACTCATGCGTTAGATTTAATTTAGGATTATGCGAGAATTATATAAAAATGCGAAGATTAAGAGGATTATATGTAATCCGAGAATTGTATACAATTCTTCACTCTGTTTGGAGCTTGGCTGGCGAGGTTGAGGCTAGAAGAATATATTTCATATACTGTTTGCTCTTTTTTGTTCTTTTTTGCATGTTTCTCAAATTTTGTACTGCGAGTTTGTATTTAGAACGGATGTCAACCTAGAGACATTAGAGCTCCTTCTGATTGTGTTTGCCTATGTCTGTCGCACTAAAAGTTTCAGGAGATTCTTCAGATTCTACGCGGCCCACTATTGAAATAAGTTGCCCTCTAATATAAAATCAACTAATTTTGTCAGCAGTTTTAAGGAAAAATATTTTTTCATTCCCTCGTTAATAACAACAGTTGTTAGCAGTTACATTAGATTTAAGTTTGAGTTATCAGTGCAATAGTATCCATCAACAATTTTCTGTGCTTCTCTTAGTCATTATTATTATATTTACTCACTATATATTTTTTATTTGTGTTTTATTTCATGTGCTATATTTTATTATACTTATCATATGTAGTAACGCGTTTAAGGATATTCTATTCGAAGATGCAAATAAACTTTTCTCTCTCTCTCTCCTTTCTCTCTCTCTTTTTCATTCCCTCGTTAATAACAACACTTGTTAGCAGTTATATTAGATTTAAGTTTGAGTTATCAGTGCAATAGTATCCATCAACAATTTTCTGTGCTTCTCTTAGTCATTATTATTATATTTACTCACTATATATTTTTTATTTGTGTTTTATTTCATGTGCTATATTTTATTATACTTATCATATGTAGTAACGCGTTTAAGGATATTCTATTCGAAGATGCAAATAAACTTTTCTCTCTCTCTCTCCTTTCTCTCTCTCTTTTTCATTCCCTCGTTAATAACAACACTTGTTAGCAGTTATATTAGATTTAAGTTTGAGTTATCAGTGCAATAGTATCCATCAACAATTTTCTGTGCTTCTCTTAGTCATTATTATTATATTTACTCACTATATATTTTTTATTTGTGTTTTATTTTATGTGCTATATTTTGTTATACTTATCATATGTAGTAACGCGTTTAAGGATATTCTATTCGAAGATGCAAATAAACTTCTCTCTCTCTCTCTCTCTCTCTCTCCTTTCTCTCTCTCTTTTTCATTCCCTCGTTAATAACAACAGTTGTTAGCAGTTACATTAGATTTAAGTTTGAGTTATCAGTGCAATAATATCCATCAACAATTTTCTGTGCTTCTCTTAGCCATTATTATTATATTTACTCACTATATATTTTTTATTTGTGTTTTATTTTATGTGCTATATTTTATTATACTTATCATATGTAGTAACGCGTTTAAGGATATTCTATTCGAGGATGCAAATAAACTTCTCTCTCTCTCTCTCCTTTCTCTCTCTCTTTTTCATTCTCTCGTTAATAACAACAGTTGTTAGCAGTTATATTAGATTTAAGTTTGAGTTATCAGTGCAATAGTATCCATCAACAATTTTCTGTGCTTCTATTAGTCATTATTATTATATTTATTCACTATATATTTTCTATTTTTGTTTTATTTTGTGTGCTATATTTTATTATACTTATCATATGTAGTAACGCGTTTAAGGACATTCTATTCCAGGATGCAAATAAACTTCTCTCTCTCTCCTTTCTCTCTCTCTCTGTCTCTTTCCTGTCTGTCTCGCAAAGTGACCTAAACCCAATTCACACTTTCCGATCTATTTCCGCGTCAAAGGGTAACTCGCACGTCTACATGTGTAAACCAAGCAACTCGGAAGCTCGTTCACCGTTACGTCCGCCCTCGCGCGGAGTCGTGAGGTTGTCGGAGGCAGGCCGCGACGACAACGACGACGGCGGCTAAACTCGTTTCCCGCGGTTGGATCTGATTTCACGTTCGAGCGGATCGCCAGTGATCGACCTTAGGAAATCTCATATGTTCCCGCGAGGATTCTCCCCGTCAGGCCGGAAGCAGACACCCGAGTGATATTCATTCGACCCGTGGCACCTCGACGGTGTGTACACGAGGTGCGATAACAATGATCTCGGGGCTAACGGCGCGCCTCGGCTTTACGACGCGCCATGAATGAAGGACCAGATGAATATTGAATTGTCGAGGAACGAGCGTATCGACGCTCCGAGGCCAACAATGCACTTCTCGAGCTGGCGAGAAAGGGAGAAAGAGAGAGAGAGAGAGAGAGAAAAGAGAGAGAGAGAAAGAATACCTGGCGCTTTTCACGCGGAAGATGTCTCAGTCAGAAACGGGAGCTTCGTTAAAAAAACAAATGACCCTCCATCACGCTTCCATTCCCAATTCTCTTGGTTCCCGTTGTCGATTGTGTCCCTGATGTCCCAACGCGCTATGAAATATTCGAATGCCGCGACGATGAACAGGTTTCTTCACGCTCAATTACCCCGCGAGGAACGTTGAGATTTTTCCCTCGAAGAAATTAGTCCCAGGGGAAAATCGCAGATTGCAATTTTGATGCCGCTACGGCTCGCGTGGCTCGCGCGACTCCGACAGGTCGACCGAACATGGCAGGACGGGAGAAAAAGGATCGGCTATTGACTTCCTTCCGCGGCAGCGAACGGGGAGTGCGAGGAGTGGAAGGAAGGATGGATGCGTCGGGAGCGATCTGACGATCATCGCTCAGCGCGGAAGGAGAATGCTCGCGGAAGGAAGCGCAGCCTCCGGCGGCACGGGCACCACCACCATCGCCACCTCCTCCACCACCACCACCACCACCACCACTACCCTCGTCGCCACCACCGCCGTCGCCGCCGCAGATACCGCCACCACTGGCAGCAGCAGCAGCAGCAGCAGTAGTAGTAGCAGCAGTAGCAGCAGTAGTAGTAGTGGTAGTAGTAGTAGTAGCAGCAGCAGCAGCAGCAGCAGCACCCCCGACGACAAGGGGATGAAGAAGAGCGTTGGTATCGAAGTGAGACGTGTATATATGTATATATAGAGGTGCGCGCACGTCGGCAAGTTCAGTCGTCCAGCGCGTGCCGAGCGGCGAGCATCGTGTAGCCACCCTCCCTCGGCGAATTCCTCGTTCTCCCCCGTTGCGTCCGCGCGAGGGTCTCACGGAACGGCCGGTCACGTGTCCCCCCCCCCCCCCCCCC